TTCATTTCCTACACAAATATTTTGAAAGCACCAAACCAGACAATTTTGCAAACTCATGGATTGCCGTCATCATAGACACATACATCTTTTGAAATTTTTACTTTCTACAAAATCTGCCTTAACTCGAAAATGTTGAAGATAAGTGTCTTTCCAACCGGTTTTTTTTTACTCGAGCTCTTCATGTACGATACAAGTAGTTGGTTGGTCTTCGCTGCAGGCTTTTAGGGGCGAGAGTTGACGAACGTATTAATCGATTTTCGATTAATCCCGTTTAAGGCCTGTTTATGGCTAGCTAGCATTGACTGAACCTAGTCTTTTTTTAAATTCGTGAGATGGCTTCTGATGCGCCTGGGAGAAGGCTCGCTCTCAAGCATGTGCCTGCATGGGTGGTTACTACGGTATTGCTTGCTCAGCATGATGTCATTCATTTGGGCCTCGCGGTGTAAAAGATGCTCAGGCGACATCAGAAGGTAATGTGGCGTTCTGACAATGTGAAGTTTCGCCCATTGCGTCCTATTAAACCCTGATGGGCTGTATAGTTTAAAATTGGCTGCCCAAATGCTTTGTATGTTTATTTGCTTTTCCCTCAAGTGCTGTCGGTGAACAGTTTTAGGACTTTATTTTGTTGCCGGTTGAGGTTGTGTGTACAGAGAGGAAGATCAAGTTGTAAGTTTTCAGATTATTTACGGTAAGAATTATTATTTCATCGACCCGTTTGCCCAAACTCAGTTCGACCTCCTTCGTGCAGGTGGTTAAAAAAGGTTTTTGTTGTTTTCATAGAGAAAAGGGTCCGGTTCTGTGAAGTGAAGAAAGTTTGAATAACCATTCACTTTAAAATACCGGGCAAACGCCCTGTTCAGTTCTTCTAAGTTTGGAGAATCGATCTCGAGCATTAAGCAACACAGAAATTTTGGTATTATATTGGCAATGATATTTATAAAGCATTTGGCGGTAACTAATCCACACTACTTTTACAAATTTGTCATATTGTTCAGATGTTATTTTCAATGGGAGAGCCACGAAATCCCCGAAAACAAAATCCCCAAACACAAAATCCCCAGTTACAAAAAATCCCCAAATATATTATCCACAAAATTAAAATCCCCAAACACGAAATCCCCAAATTTTTTTGGTGACAGTGTAACAAAATCCCCAAATTTTTGAATAAATGTTATTACCGATCTAATTCGTAGGTACATACACCCGGTTTACACGGTTCAAGTACTTGAAAGTAATTCTTGTTCATTATCTTTTGTGTTTTCTATTTGCTTTTACACGGTTAAATTCTTTTGAAAATTTGAAGATTTTGATTTTGGGGATATTGTGGTACACCCCTTTTCAATAAATCATTCTATAGGGGAAAATAATAGCTTTGTTCCATACGCTTTCCGGGCTGTTTCGGCAATTAGAGAGTAAAAACAAGTAAAAAATTAGTCGAAACGTGCTAAAAGTGCCCAGAGCGTGAGGAACGCAAAAAACCACATTTCGTGCCCGGAATCAACAAATCAGCTCTAAAAAAGGATTTTATGCGTATTTATCTTATATGGCGAATAAAATTAGCAAATACCTACATTTTTTTAATTTAAGTGGTATTTTCCATTTTGTGTTTTATAAAATTTGCTTTCAGATGTAAACATACAACAGCTGTTATGGCGATTTGAATTTGCACATTTTTGCTCGTAAAAAAAGTCCGGGCTGTTTCGGGCTCGAAGAAGAAGATATTTGCGATCCAAAAGTGGAACGTGTTCGCTCTCTATTACCCATTTTTCTAGCATGAGGAACGCTTTCCGGGCTGTTTTGGGCACCCGCGGGCTCGTGTGGAACAAACCTAATATAAACCTAAAAAATTGCATCCAAATTCTAATGAAATAACTGCTGACACATACTAAAAAATTATATTTCTACTGTCGACATATTTTCAAACTTTAAATTTTTCGCCCCAAATTCAATATAAATTTATTTTTGTACATAAATATAGACCTTTAAAATTTACACTTTACTGTATAATATACTCGTGAGGTATAGACAACTTTTGTAACATCACTTTTTGTATAAGAATCGCAATTTTATCTCATTAAAGATTCATAAAAATTTTAGTTGAATATTATTAGTTGTTGTTGCTATTATTACTAATATTTATATACTACCAGCACGAAGTAGTATATCTCTATGTATCTTTTAATATAAATATATATATAAGAATACATTTATATAAGTGCACTCACCTCTTTCTCCTTATCTTTCTCTTCCGTATCGTTGGCCGAATCTTGTCGTTCTGGATCGAGATCCTGTAAAAGCAGAAAAGAAAGAAAATTTAAATTTATAGTTTGAAAAATATTTGCAACATGCCCATAAACTCATAAATTACAGCTAATTAATCAAAGTCAGGCGCGTGTCAATGTATGCATATAAGTATATACGTAAATAGTATAACTGACGCCCAATGAATTTTCGAAATTAAAATTTACAATAAATTATAATAGCTACAGACACTAGCACTTGCAAAATTTATTGCGCTTTTAAATATCTATTTTTGAAAATCTTGTATGTATTTTAAACCTTTGCTATGCCACAAATGGTAATTTAGGAATTCACGTACTATCTTTCAATTTTGACATAATTTTATAGCATGTTCACATTGACTTGATTTAGCGCTGAAATTTGATGTAAGATTTGATGTAGGCACGAATAACTTTTTAGGGTATTTTTAATACTCATGCACTTTTTTATTAATATCTTTTTCTAACTTGGGTGTTGCTGAAAAACGGAAACTGCCTAAATCAACGATGATATGAACTAGCATTTAGAATTTAAGTAATTGATTTTAATGTACAATATATCGCACACGTTCTTCACAATTACATTAACTTAATTGCACGTGGTCTTAAAAAGTGCTTCGAGGCTTTTTATGAATTTTTCAGAAGTGAAAGGAAACGTAGTTTCCTTCGCAGAAACCCTATAACAGAAAACTTTTTTATAACAGTAACTAAGCATTTCTACTTGGCAAAATCCATGTTACTTATCCGTGTTTTTTTCTTTGAAATGTTGGCTATTCCTTGTAAATGGCTTATTAAAATCAACTAAGGAAAGGAGTTAAAATATGTGTAGGTCTACATTGTTTGCTTTTGGGTATCATTTCAAAGTGGAAATGGCAGAACGGATTAAGAGTTGACCTTTCCAAAATGGAATAGCTCTCGCTCTCAATTATTTTTGCAAAATTTGGAATAAAGAGCTCTCAATCTCATGTCGGAATGCCCGCCACAGTTGGGTTTACGTAACCGGAACGACCCCGATATATGTATATCTGGCTCAGGACTGTGACTCCGGCATTTTCCCCAACCACTTTTGGGGAAATTTGTATGCTGTTACAATAACAACAACATTCTTACAGCTTTCAATCTGAAATTGCTAAAAAGCAAAATTTAGCTTAATACTTTTTAGGTTGGATTTTTGACTTGGCCGCCAAAAACCATTAAAAACTTGTTGCTAGTTTTCTTACTAACTATACAGCTTTTGTTAGCGTCCACATTTCTAAATGATGTACTTACATCCATATCGATATGTACAACGCCGGTGG